TTTCGCCCGTGCATTTAACGCTCCCCGCTTTTTGCCGGGCGGTTTCGCCCGTGCTTTTAACATTGGAAAGCCAAAAAACCACCATAATTTCGAAATCTTAAAGCCAAAACTTGGTTATTTTGGCGGAATGTAAAAACGCGTTATCGTGCTGGAAATACGGTGGCCGACAGCCTCGGACTTCCTAAGCCTCGAACTAGTTAAAAACAATAAGAATTATATGCCTGCAATACTCGAAGGCGTTAATGCTTGTCTCGTTAGCCCAAAAGTAAATCGGGCCCTTAACTTTGCCTGCAAACGACCCCCAAAATATAAAGCCGTAACCTTTTTGCTTAATGCGTGCAAAAATTGCCGGGTCTTCGCAATCCCTAACTATTAGGTAATGGTGGCTTTTAAAAGGTTGGTTAAAATACCAAACCTCGTTAAACCAAAGGATAAGGCCGACCCCGGCTTGCACTCAATGCTCTTTTATTGGCCAACGTAATAAAGCCTAATGTGCAAAATTAAGCTTTATTTGCCGGATCCTGGGCGTAAAGGGTAACTTGGTGCTTTGGGGCATCCTTTTGTAATAAAAAGAATGCATAAAAATATGTATTGCATCCCGGCCCCAATCTAAAAAGCCAAAAACTAACCAGCGAAAGTTAGCCCAAAGGATGCGGCGGTAACGAAGGTCCTTTTAAAAAAAGGCCTCTAAAGCACGCATTTGTTCCTTGGTAGCCCGTTTTGGGTATGGGCCAACCCTACCGGCTTTTTAAAGCGTGGCAGGGCTTTCGCATGCAAATTAAACTTGGCGAATAGTAACGCCCATGCCTTGGGCAATTTGCCCGTAAATCCAATGGGCTATTTCGCAAAGTGCTTGTATTTTATACTTGGTTACGCGGTCGAATTTTGTGGTTCGCGTTGGCGTAAAGGGAAGGCCGGCCGGTAAGCGGGAAGGGTCGAGGAAAGGCCGGCCGGTAAGCGGGAGGGGTTAAGGGCCGGCCGGTAGGCGGAAAGGGTCGAGGGCCGGCCGGTAAGCGGGAGGGGTCGAGGGAAGGCTAAAAGGAGGGCCAAAAGGAGGGCCAGAAGGAGGGCCAAAAGGAGGGCCAGAGAAAGGGCCAGAGAAAGGGCCAAAGAGAGGGCCAAAGAAAGGGCCAAAAAAAGGGTTTAAAGGAAGCCTAAAGCCGGCCGGCCGGTAGGTGCGAAGGACCGAAAAAGGGCAGGCCGGCCGGCCGGCCGGCGCCTGGGGATAAGGCGCCCAGCGCGCGCGCATCTGGCCGGGCGCTTAATTAAAAAGGCATTAAATTGCCGTGCAGATTAAAGGCATTGCGGTGCAAATTGAAGGTATCGCGGTGCAGATCGGTAGCGTTGAAGTGCGTGCGTTGAAGTGCGTGCGTTGAAGTGCGTGCGTTAAAGTGCGTGCGTTGATTGAGGGTATCGCGGTGCAATTGGTGCACGCGGTGCAATCGGTGCAATCGGTGCACGTGGTTGTTGTGCAAAGTGGGCCTGCCGGGATCTCGATCCTGTTAAATGGAGGTGCGGGTAGCGATACATTGATTTGGCTGGATTTTGTGTGCGAAAAAGTGTAGTCGGAGACATGGCCCAATTGTAAAGGGATCCCTGACCAAAAACCCCTGTGGTCCCGCCCTTTTAACGTTTAATATCCCTCACTCCTGTAGGCGGCAATTTGCCAGTGACATTTGTCCCGACCCGAGATCAGTGGACCACCATCTATCTAACTTGCCAATCAATTCGTGTCGGGTGCGTTTATAGCGGTTAATAAGCTTCGAGACTGTGCACCTCCAAGAAGCAAAATTTTCCAGGCCCAAGATCGGGTGCATCCGAGCAGCGGGGCTTCAAACCCACATAACTGGCTGGTGCATGAGGGGGGATCTCAGGCCCCTGACGCCCTACCCCAATCCTGCGCATCACACCTGCCGCCATCCATCGAAATCTCCACTCTTAGGTCAAGAAATGGTAAATTTTTGGCTTCGGCGAGCAAATACGCCTGGCCAAGCTCGAGGCCGAACAAGCCGAACCCAACTCCCCCGTCAACCTTGCAATATGCCTCTGGCGTCGAAGAATCTCCGCCCCTAGGATGCTCAACCCGTTCAGCAGCCGCATTGCGAGTGGTTCTGTTAGTCCCTTCGTCCGACTTGCGCGCCACCGATGCCGTCGCAATCATGAGCCTCGCTTGGTGGCGGTACGACGGCATGCCTCGATCGCACAGCAATTCCAAAATGCCGCCCGGTCCGCCACCTCGCCTGCCTCGCCTGCCTCGCCTGCCACGCCCGCACAGCAGCCCCAGGACAGCACCCAGCCCGTCCCGTCTCTCGCCACGCTTGCACAGCAACTTGAGGACATCGCCCGGTCTGCACAGCAACTTGAGGACATCGCCCGGTCTGCCCCGCCTCTTGCCACCCTCGCGCTCGAGTCCGAGGCGCAGTACAACGAGATAAAGGTCCAGCAGATCAGCAAAAAAATCTTCAAGCAGGTCTTCCCCCTCGGGCGCGACACGCCCCCCGAAGACCTTGTCAAGCTTTCCGAAGACCACCTTGGCCGCCACGGCCTGTACGGCAAGAACACCGATAATAGTAAACCCATCGCCTTCGAACTGCCCGATCTTCAGGGCAATACTCTCGATGAGCACTTCCACAAACTCGGAGTGGACGCCGCCGAACCGTACTTGACACTCGCCAAACGGTTCGCTCTCGCAAACACTCCACCCCAGCCGCGACAATGGGAGCACAGGAGCGGCTGGACGGTATATTGCGACGGTATTGCCGAGCCTGTCGAGTACCCACCGGAAAACCTGCTGTGTTTCGACACCGAAGTCATGTGGAAGGAGCATCCCTTTGCCGTCATGGCCTGCGCCGCCTCCCCGACTGCCTGGTACGCCTGGATTTCTCCCTGGCTGTTGGGTGAGTCTGATAATGAGCGCCAACTCATCCCGCTCGGCGATCCGACACAGGATCGCATCATTGTCGGCCACAACGTCGGCTACGATCGGGCCAGGGTCATGGAGGAATACAGCCTTGAACAGACGCGCAACTTCTTCATCGACACCATGTCACTGCATGTCGCCGTCAACGGCATGTGCTCCAGGCAGCGACCCAAATGGATGAAGGCCAAGAAGGACCGTGAGTTCCGCGAAAAAATAGCCCAGGAGACCACTAGCGTAGAGCTTGCCGAGCTTCTCAGGGACGGCTCCTTGTCCCAGGAAGAGGAGGAGCTTTGGGTCGGGAGGAGCTCGGTGAATTCTCTGCGCGAAGTCGCAAAGTTCCATCTCCACGTTACCATCGACAAGGCCATCCGAGACGACCTCGGGGAGCTGGACCGGGAAGGTATCTTGGGAAAATTGGATGAGCTGCTCGACTATTGCGCCGCCGACGTGGTCGTCACCCACAGGGTCTACCAGGTCGTATTCCCCAACTTTCTCAACACATGCCCGCATCCCGTCAGCTTTGCGGCGCTGCGCCACCTCTCCTCCGTCATTCTCCCCGTGAACGAGAGCTGGGACGCCTATATTGCCAAGGCCGAGGACGTCTATCAAAAGCTTTCAGATGGCGTTGTAGCACGGCTGGTAGCGCTGACGGACAAGGCACTGGAGATCAAGAAAGACCCGGAGAAATGGGGAAGTGACCCATGGCTAAGTCAGCTTGACTGGTCAGGTCAGGAAGTCAGGATGGCCAAGGGCAAGAAAAAGGGTGACCCTCCCCGGGAAGCACTCCGACAGAAGAAGCCGAGGGAGCCCAAGTGGTACAAGGACCTCTTCCCGAAAGCCACTGGCCCCATCAATATCACAGTACGGAGCCGCATCGCCCCCCTGCTTCTCCGCCTCTCCTGGGACGGGCACCCCCTTGTATGGTCCGACAAATATGCATGGGCTTTCCGTGTCCCACGAGGACAAGAAAGCACTTATATCGACAAGCAGATGTTGAAGTGCGATATGAGCGACGAGAAGATCGAAAGGCTGCGCGACGATAAAGCCCACGTCTACTTCAAACTGCCGCACAAAGACGGCCCAGACGCACGTTGTGGGAACCCGATGGCTAAGAGTTACCTCCCGTATTTCGAGAGCGGGGTCTTGACCTCGGAATATCCGTACGCTAAAGAAGCGCTCGACATGAACGCATCCTGTTCGTACTGGATCAGCGCTCGCGATCGCATCATGTCTCAGCTAGCGGTCTATCAAGGCGACTTGCCGTATACCTGCGGCCCTTTCAGGCCAGAGGAGGCAGATCATATCCAAGCAGAGGCAGAACGTCTGCATGCAGAGGCAGAAAGTCTGCGCGCAGAGGCGGACTCGCTCCAAGGAGGGGAAGTTGGCAGTCCCTTTCAAGCAGAGCAGGCTGAAGATTCTCTCCAGGTAGAGAAAGTCGGCGACTCTCTCCAAGCACAAAAGGCCGCCGACTCTATTCAAACAGAGAAGGTTGACGACTCTCTCAAAGTAGAAGAGGCCGCGGGCTCTCCCCAAGCAGTGGAGCCAAAGGCGGCAAGGCTATCGCCAAAACAAGGATTCATCCTGCCACAGGTCATCCCTATGGGCACGATAACTAGGAGAGCGGTTGAGAACACTTGGCTTACGGCAAGCAATGCCAAAAAGAACAGGGTGGGCTCGGAGCTAAAGGCCATGATAAAGGCGCCGCCCGGGTATTCGTTTGTGGGCGCAGACGTGGACTCGGAGGAGCTATGGATCGCCAGCGTGCTCGGCGATGCTGTCTTCAAGCTGCACGGTGGCAACGCCATCGGCTTCATGACGCTCGAGGGCACCAAGGCGGCCGGGACCGATCTGCACTCCCGGACGGCAAGCATCCTCGGAATCAGCCGCAACCAATCCAAAATCTTCAACTACGGGCGCATCTACGGTGCTGGGCTCAAGTTTGCATCGCAGCTGCTGAGACAGTTCAACCCATTGCTATCGGAGAGCGAGACCAGCGAGACGGCCACCAAGCTGTACGCGGCGACCAAGGGTGCCAAGACCAACCGCAGTGCCCTCTATAGCAGGCCGTTCTGGAGGGGCGGTACCGAATCGTTCGTTTTCAACAAGCTCGAGGAGTTTGCCCAGCAGGAGCGGCCGCGCACTCCCGTCCTCGGCGCGGGCATCACCGAGGCTCTCATGGCCCGGTACGTGTCCAAGGGCGGCTACCTGACGTCTCGTATCAACTGGGCAATCCAGTCTTCGGGCGTTGACTACCTCCACCTGCTCATCGTGTCGATGGACTATCTTATCCGTCGCTACGACATCGATGCTCGGCTAGCCATCACGGTGCACGACGAGATCCGGTACCTGGTAAAGGATTGCGACAAGTACCGTACTGCCATGGCGCTGCAGGTGTCTAACCTGTGGACGCGCGCCATGTTCGCCGAGCAGGTCGGCATCCGCGACCTTCCGCAGTCCGCCGCCTACTTCTCGGCCGTTGACATCGACCACGTCCTCCGCAAGGAGGTAGACATGGACTGCATCACGCCCAGCCACGCCGAGCCGATCCCGCATGGCGAGAGCCTCGACATTACCGCCCTACTCGACAGAGGCACCGAGGCCTTCCTAAACCCAGCCACGACCCCTCGCCGAGGACGGGAGCCCAAGCTGGACGATATTGAGTACACGCCACGCAAAACAGTTATGCAGGAGCTGGCCGAGGCCGACCCCGCCACGAGCGACATATCCTTCATCAAGGCCCAGATCACGGGCGACGGCGTGGAGCTCAGGAGCATCGTGGCTCAGAAGCGCCAGGCGGACACCCCAGCGCCGTCATCCCCATCCTCTGCCGTCAAGAGTGTGAAAAAAACGGCTGGCAGCGCTGGCGTGACCAGGGCGAAGAAGAGCGTGCTGCCGTACCACGCACAACCCAAGCTACCTTATATGGACGAGATCATTTCCATTTCAGACGCCTACAGCATCTTCAGACAAACTAACGGCCCGGCTGCCAACAAGTCGACGCGTCCATGGCAGAGCCAGTGTGGTTCCAAGGCTCCGCCCACTCGGCAGTCGCCAACCCGCTTGTGAGAGAGCTTTCTACCTTGTGGCTTGTCCTGAAGCTTACAATCCATTTCTATCCTCAACCTCGACTCTCACTCTCCCCGGTTTTCTTTGTCTCTGTTTTGTTTGCAGAGCATGCACATATGGATTTCTTCCTGGTCTGTACCACATTCCCCGCGTCTTTTTGTTTTCTTTTATGCGTTACGTCCCGTCGTAACCCATGTCGATATGTTTTACCAAGTTTATGTGGCACCGGGAGCGTATCGGGGTAGGAAGTGTATGGGCTGGAGTGCGGTTATGGCGCTCTCGGACAAGGGTTGGCCCGTTGATTTATTTGATTGGATATAGCGACGGAAAACAATGATTCGTGGTTTCAACCCCTCCCCAGCGTTGTGTGCCACCGCTTCGGTCCATTGTACGTGCTCCCTATATCCGTTTCGCAAACCAGCTCCTCAACCGTTGATGTAGTAGTTGAGCCCAAGGCCCAGAGAATCACATTGAGCCAGTTCCCGAAACTGGTACGGCGGCCAGTCCAGCACGCGCATGGTCAAGCCGGCGGCCGTGGAGGGCTGCCACCTCCTCGAGGACTGGACCTGGCTCAGGGTGCCGGTGTAGCCGCGCGCGGCCAGGAAGGCCGGGTCCGGGTTCTGATCGTAGGACCTAGCAAAAGAGACGAAGGAGTCGATCACGAGCCGCGCAAAGGGGAGGTCGACGTCGTCGCGGGGCGGCAGGCCCTCGCGCGCCACGTTGCCGAACACGTAGAGCAGCTCGCCCGAGTGGCAGCGCAGGTAGGGCCGCGAAGCGTCGCCGCGCGGGCGCGCTGCCGTCGCGGGAGGCTCGCACACGTCGATGCGGGGCCAGGCGGGGGTCTGGTAGGTGCGGTCGAACTCGTAGTAGAAGACGGCGCGGCCGAGGCGGCCGCCGCGCGCGCCGGCGGCGGCGGTGGCCTGGTCGGCGCACCGGAACTCGGCGTCTGTGGCCAGACGCGAGGTGCCGTTGTACAGGTTCAGGGTCGCGTTGGCGGTCGAGTCCGGGACGGGAAACAGGGCCGGCCGCGGCGGGGGCGCGAAGCCGAGCGAGGCCAGGTAATCGCCCTGGTCCGTCGTCTTGGGGTACTGGATGAACGGGGCAGCGTCGTCGCGCACGATGCCCATCATGACGCGCAGGGGTAGGGCGGGGCCCGGCGAGAGGATCAGCTTGTTCGAGGTCGGGTAGGTCCCGTGACGACCAGGTACCGGGCCGCGGCGGCCTTGTTGAACTGGGCGGCGGGCACGTTGCGGAGGCAGTCGACCTGGGACGCGGCCGACGCGCAGCCGGTCACGTCCAGTATCGGCTTGGCGGCCACGTCCACCTGCTCGGCTATGGTGTAGTACTTGGAATACGTCGCGCCATAGTAGAGGCCGCCGAGGTTGCTCATGGGGATTGCGGCGGCGAACTTTCCGACGGCCTTGGGCGACGCCATCAGCGCCCTTACAGACGCTGCGCCGGCCGACTGCCCGAATATGGTGATCCTGCTGGGGTCGCCGCCGAAGCTGCGGATGTTCTTGACTATCCAGTTCAAAGCGTTTATCTGATCCGCCAGGCCGTAGTTACCGTTCGTGGCGCCGTCATTGAGGGCAAGGAATCCAAGAGACCCGACGCGATAGTTGATGTTGACCACAACGACGTCGCCGCGGGAGGCCACGCTGCCCCCGTCGAAGATTGTGTCGTTCCCGCTCCCGCTGGTGAAGGCGCCGCCGTGGATCCAGAACATGACAGGCTTCAGGCCGCGCTTGGCGGCGACGCTCGCGTTGTGCGGCAGGAACGGGGTCCAGATGTTGAGGAACAGGCAGTCTTCTCCGCCGGTATCATCTGGCTGCGGACACTTGGGGCCGAAGTCGAGAGCCTCGGCCGCGCCGCCGTTGCCCTCGAAAGGGATCGAGTGGCCGAACCGCACAGGCTGTGGGGCGTAGCGGATTCCCAAGAATCGGAAGCTCAAGCGATCCCGGAACCCGGTCAAGACCTCGTCGTTCACCCTGACCGAGACGTGCCACTGCGCACCCCTGTCCGCCGCCGCCGGACTAGAAAAGGGGGCCGACTGTGTGCACAGCGCAGGGAGCCGCAGGTCTCCGTCTGAAGCTGGCTCGACGCCGCGGCCGGCGCTTATGGTCCTGGGGTTGCTGCCTGCCGTGGGGCTTATCCAGAATATGACGGTGGCAGCAGAGGAGAGAGAAGACCACATTCGCAACAACGGGCCGACCGCTTGGCTCGGCGAAAAATGCTCAGGGCGCCCACCTTGTGGCTGGGAGATCTCCATGACGACGGCGGGGCCGTGAGGTTGTATTTCCATGTCCATCACTAAGGCGACACCCAGTCGGCCGGTGTTTATCTCTGCTCTTGAGATGGGCCGAGTCCTAAACGTGCGTCTGGACCCGGGTGTGACCTATCGCGACCATGTGTACGCTGCTTTCGTCCCAGACCCGTCGGGGCATGTCAGGTATCGCAACATGAGGAAGGCAGGCTACTAACTAACGCATGGTTTGCGTGATGGAGGGCGAGATGGATTTGAACAAGTAGGTACAGTTGGGCTAGAGAAAGGTGATGATGGCGACGTCATGCCGCAATCTGTGCCTTCAACGGCAGGCCATGCGATGCGCTGATGGAATTTGATCCAATGGCGGTGAAATGTGGTTGGCTGCCGCCTGCGCTGCCCATCCAAATCGCGCCTGCTCCAAAGTTTTCACGTCTGGTGAGAAAATGGACCCTCACCCAACGACGAAAATCCAGACGGTGAACAGGAAACGGCCGTTTTGCATGCGTGTGTTGAGTCAACATTCTGCTCGGAATGCCATCGTCCCATGTGATTTGAGGCGGCACATAGTATAGGCAAGCACATACGTGGGGCACTGCACAGGTCAAATCAATCAACCGTCCTGGTCCCTTCAGGCGACCAAGCGAACCAAGCGCATGTGCAACCAATACGCCCACCCGCGCCATGTCTGAAGGCAGCCTGGCACCATGACCAAGATCCTCTGCGTGGCCGAAAAGCCGTCCATCTCCAAGGCGGTTGCCGGCCACCTCTCAGGCGGCCAGTTCCAGACGGTTCGTCACCGCAACAAGACCCGACACCGCCATGGCACCCTCATCTAACTCATCTAACCATGGCCAACGCGCCGACAGCACAATACACGCGTCACGTACGTCAAGAACTACTCCTTCAACTTCGACTTTGGCCCGCCATGGGGCAGCTGCGAAGTCACCATGACCTGCGTCCTGGGCCACCTCACTGGCATGGAGTTTGGCCCCGAGTTCAAGGACTGGAGGTATCCTCCCCCTGAGAGCCTCTTCACTGCACCCGTCTCCACCAAAACGGCAGAGGACAAGAAGGAAATCGCCCAAAACATCCAGCGCCAGGCCCAGTACGCGAGGGCCCTCTTCATATGGACCGACTGCGATCGGGAGGGTGAGCACATCGGCAGCGAGATCGTCGAGGAGGCCCGCAAGACCAAGCCCGGCATCCAGGTCAAGCGCGCACGGTTCAGCAACATCGAGAGGGCACACATCTTGCATGCCGCCAAGAACCTCGCCAACCTCGACGACAGACAGGTCCAGGCCGTGCAGGCGCGAATCGAACTCGACATCCGGATAGGATTTGCCTTCACCAGGTTTCTCACCAACAATCTCCGAACACTGGGCGGACCTCTGGCAGAGCACATGCTGAGCTACGGTAGGTAACCTGACTTAGCAAGCATCAGTCCAGCCATGGCGTAACCACCACTCCCTCTAATCCCAATCAAACCGCTAGGCTCATGTCAGTTCCCAACTCTCGGGTTCGTTGTTGACCGGTACTTTCGCGTCAAAAACTTTGTGCCCGAGCCCTTCTGGACCATCAAGCTTGTCGTAAGCAAAGACGGCAAGACGGCAACTTTCAACTGGACAAGAGGCCGGCTTTTCGATCGTGTCTCAGTTGTGATCCTCTACGAGAGATGCCTCTCGGCAAAAACAGCCAAGGTCACCAAGGTGCAGGAGAAACCTACCAAGAAATGGAAGCCGCTGCCCCTGACCACGGTAGAGCTACAAAAGATGGCTACCCGATTCCTCCGAATCACGGGACAGCAGGCAATGGATGTGGCCGAGAAGCTGTACCAAAAAGGCTTCATCAGCTATCCGAGAACAGAGACAGATCGGTTCGACAAGGGCATGAATCTCCGCGCCCTTGTGCAGAAGCAGACGCAAGATGGTCGATGGGGAACCTTCGCCCAGGGCTTGATGGACGGCGGCTTCCAGCAGCCCCGGAACGGAAAGCACGACGACAAGGCACATCCACCCATCCACCCCATCACGTATGCTGCATCTGGAGCCTTGAACGACGTCGGGCCCGAGGCGGGGCGGTTGTACGAGCTGGTCGTCCGGAGATTCCTAGCCTGTTGCTCTGAGGACGCCAAGGGAATGGCTACTGATATGCATGTCCAGTACGGGGACGAGACATTCCACGCACACGGCGTGGTCGTCCTGGAGAGGAACTACCTGGATGTCTACCCGTATGAGAACTGGACCGACTCGGCGCAGCTGCCCAGACTGACCATGGGCGAGCATGTCACGCCAGTAGAGGCCATGATGACAGAAGGAAAGACGACAGCGCCAGGACACCTGACTGAGGCGGACCTGATTGCGTTGATGGACGCCAACGGCATTGGGACTGACGCCACCATGGCGGAGCACATACAGACCATACAGACCCGGCAGTACGCCCGCACGATCGAGGGGCCTGGGCGTGGTGGCGGGGCCGGGGCTGACGAGGATCAAGCAGCACCGCCAGCAGCAGCAGCTAGGGGAGGGCGTGGAGGACGCGGACGTGGCAGCCGCGGGGGCGCCCGGGGAGGGAGAGGGGGCGCTGCCGGCCGTGGAGGCGGCGGGAAAGGTGGCGTCAGAGTCTTCATCCCTACACAGCTCGGGGTCGCACTCATCGAGGGCTTCGACCGGATGAACTTCGAGACGAGCCTGGGCAAGCCCTTCCTCCGGCGCGAAATGGAGGCCAAGATGAAGGCCATCTGCGAGGGTCGCACAACCAAGGATGTGGTGCTCAATGAGAGCGTGCGACAATACCGCCGCGTCTTCGAGCAGTCGGGCGAGCAGCTCGACGTCCTCAAACGAGTGAGTTGCTACGAAGCAGTTTTCCTCAGCACACCCACCATCCACCACCCGCCACCTGTCATACCACCCATACATCCACTGTCACCCTCCTTGGGCCGGGCGAGCCCCTCATCCCTTATCCCACCACTCGGCTGCAGCCTTGCCTCCATCCCGTCGAGCTTTTGGTTCTGACTGCCGATTTGTGTTGCCAGGCATGCAGAGAGTACATATTCGGCGGAGGGGCCTGAGGCGCGGGGTAGACGATTATCTGGTGGGATTTCGGATGGATGGCACAGAGATTCTTGAGAGCCGCCAGCCTAGCAAGCCGAGAGGGTGTCGAGCCTCGCGGGCTTGATTCGTCACTCACACACCCTATTGTCCCCATTCCTTGGCGGCGCCAAAATATCTAGTGGTCATCCCGAACTCGGGTCTGAACGGCTGCAGTTACCCTATACTCCTCTTGACCCGGGAAATCCTGTGCGCGCCGGAACTATACACGGTGTGCTTTGAGCGGTATTCTCCCGCATATCGAGCATGTGCCGGCACCGCCGCTCTAGCCTGTCGTATCCCCTCGTGCAAAAGACATGAGGCGCAGGTTGGGCAAGCGCCCAGAACCGGCTGGCCACTCTTTGACTCGCCTTACTCAACGCTGTTGCATTTGGGAGCGCGGTTGTGTGACGATCAGGCCCAGCCGTGACAGGAGCTGCTGTGACGATGGGGGGTGCTCCGCACCGGAGAGAGGGAGCAGAGCCAAGGAGATGGGGGAGGAAGCTCTGGGCATGGTGGGCTCGCGCGAAGCACTGCCGTCCAGTCAGTCTGGACCGTGGACGTGAGATGGTGTCATGGCCCATGTCCTCTCCATCATGCCATGGAACCGAAGGCCGCTCCACAAGGCGAAACCGTAAAAATAAGGACTGATAGCGATGAAATGACAATGTGAAGCACCGCAATGGAGTCCCACAACCGGGCAAGCGGAGGAAGCCGGGTTGAGTGGAGCAATGAATATGCCCCCCCCCCCCCCCCCCCCCAACGAGAGTGGGGAGATGACGAGCTCAACGAGCGGCAGCGTTCGGGGCTAGGAAGGTGTTCGCGCGCGAAACCGCCGGCAGTGTGTGGGGGGAATAGAAGGGAAATGCTAGATGGGGGCAATCGCTGGGGGCGTTTGAGAGCTCGCATGTTTCATGAGAGCTTCTCGTGGCAACTCAGCACCATGGGCACATGCCTGTCTGCTCTGTCCTGGCTGCCCTCCTACCCTGCAATCCATCAGGGTGCGACGCGTACTGTGTGTATAATAAGTGAGCTGTTATATGATGGGAAAGAAGTGTGCGTTTTGGGCCAACTTTTGACGTCGTGACGTCCCAAAATTGCCGCACATCTGCCCATCGTCAATGGAGCAGAAAAGAAAGGGAAAATGTGGGGAGCGGGGACTGGGCGATGGGATGGAAGCAGGCGTGTGCCTTGGACCTCGAATGTCACCAGCCCTGATCGACCGCATACGCATGTACCACAACACTGCTGCTGCTGCCTCCTGCGTGGGTGGCCAATATCCTCCCGTCGGTACCGGAAGTAGCGCTCGCTTGTAACGAAACAGGAACGAGCCCCAGCAGGGCGTATTCTTATTTTAGCTCCATCTTGATATCAAGATTGCCTACATTCACGCACAAAACCCGACCATCTGCCGAGGAGGACAAATGTCGCTATCATCGGTGGTAGGTACCTATCCATCTAGGTAGTCAGACCAAAAGGTACGGGGAGGCAAGGTGCCTTCATCTTGAATCCGTTCCCGGCGTATCCAACCGGTCAGCAAAAGCCCCCGCCGCATACGCCGCAAGAGAAAAAGCCCGTCGTATTTGCCGTGTCTATCACCCATCAAGCGAGGGCCGGGACACCCCCTCCTCCTCGAGTGGGAAGATGGAGGCGAGGATGCCATGATGGCTGTGCGACACACAATCATATCATCACCCACCCACCCACACGCTCACCATACCCACACCCACAACCCAGCGATATTCTCTAGCGCATGGGTCGAGCCTCGGGATCTCGTGGGACAGGGGTGGTTGGTGGTGGTGGTGGTGGGAAGCAAAAACGATCGGCCTTGGGAAAGAGAAATTTGTGGCATGTCGTTTAGGGCACGATGACGATGGAGACACGGACTTGGATCCCTCTTCCTTGTGACGAGCCCGTGATAAAACGTGGGAACCTTGGCAATCCCGCGGGGAGGGGAGAGAGCCCACCTCGAGCCAACGTCAAGTTTGGTCACCTGCGCAGGCAGGCCAATCGGGGGCCTCGCAGCGTCCAACGTGATGGGAAACGGGCGCTTCACACCACGACATTTGATGATGCCTATTGTTGATGCCGGTGTGGGGCGGCGGCCCTTGTGTTTATCGAAAGAGGGAAAGAAGAGTGAAGCCTGGAAGCAAGACACCGAGACATGGAAGCAGGGCGGACAGAGGAGGAACCCCGCTCACATTTTTTTCTCCTTCTTTTGCGCGAATTCTTTTCCGTTCCGAAATTCCGAAATGTGCGTGTGTATTATCGACAAAAACAAAAACAATATCGGTGAGCAAAAACGCAAAATGCGTTGTGCTTTTTCGCTTCCCGGGGGCTCGTCACCGGAAGCTGCGTCCGGGCGGGTGTCGTGGGGTCCGGGGCTGGGCTTCAGGATGGGGCCTCTGTTTTTCTGATAACAACATGGGAGCTGCCCGCCGGGGCATCCGAACATCAATGGGCCCACAAAATGAAAGACGGGGCAGCGGGATCGTGCGTCAGGCCTAGGCCAGGTTGACGGTGAAGAAGATGGAAATGGCGGCCACAAAAGCGAAAAAAAAACAAAAGAGAAACTGACAAGAGCAGAGCAAAAACAGGAGTCATCTGCTTTCGCCGTGGGGTCTGGAATGGGGCAGGATGCTCAAAGCAGTGGGCGTGGCTGGCGCCACGACGAACTCATTGGCCTTGCTTTTCTCGACGGAACCCAAGCCCAGAGCGCATTGTTGGCGAATTCACGTATCCCGCCCGCCTGGCTAAGGTGCTGCGCCTCGGGCTCACCCAAAGGCCAAAAAAGCCCCCCAAAGCAACAAAAAAAAAAACGTGGGCGGAAAGCATACCAGTTGGCTGTGCTTGTTGAACCCATCTTTGATTTACACCGTCAATCAGTGTGGATAGGGGCACACCCCTGTCGGCCCACCAATCCTAGAAGGTTCTTTCTTCTAGCGAGAATGGAACACGGCCAAATTTGGCATGCGGGAGATTGCCCAGATGGCTTCCCCGTCCGGTGGTGGTCGGTGGGACGTCTTCAATTGTGGATGATCAATCGCCAAAAAGAACGAAAAGAAAGGGGCGACAATACCAGCCCCCTGTGCCGTTGGGCTGGAAGTTGAGAGCGGTCTGCATGCAGTCTCTGTTGCGTGGTCTACCATCTGCCGCCTGCGAGAGCGAAGACTACAGAGACAGCCGATGCATTCCGTCCGCGACTCCGGCCTCCAGCTCTTTGTCACGACTGAGATGCCCGAGTTGTTGGGAGCGAGCCGACTGATCTGGTCTGGGTCTGACATCATCCAGAAAAAACAGGGCAGTCCGTCTCAACTCGCCATCATCCATTACGATTTTGCGCGACAGCCCAAGTCCACAGGCAGGTACCAGTCACAGGTACCGGGTACACCAAATGTACCTCACTTAGCACAGCCTGCACGCCCGCAAGCCACTGGGAACGACAAGGAGCGGGCGATACCTAACCCCCAAAGAGTGGATGCCCGGGACAGACCATCTCCATGCTCGCTTGTCAAGCTTTTGGAATTTTCGCTGGGTTCGTGCGCGCCCTGTTCGGTAGCCACAGCAGCCCACTGCGACGGGGCGGAATGGACAACACATTCTCGACGGCCCAGATGGCCCCTGTTTATTTTTGTTGTTGTTGATTTGGGGCCTGCCTGCTGGGCATAATTTGAGCAAGGTCAGCACGGGTCAGGTCGCAGCTGAGAGAGGCTGACAGTGGCGGCCAATATGGTCGCGCTTGCCGAACGCGGGAGAAGCAGACGGAAGGCGGCCAGGAGAGGACATGATGGCTAGGACAGGACAGGACAGGACATGTCTTTGTAATGGGAGGAACGATTCCAATTCGTGCCAACTGCGGCAATAGCAGGGGTGGTTTGCGAATGTGGATGGATGGAGCGAGCCATGAATTGATGCACCAAACCTACTAGTAATGAGCCACATCTCTCAGGGGGGCGGCCGCCGGGCTTCCTCAGAGCAGGAGTCTTCCTGCTTTGTGCCGCCAATACCCAAAGACGGCGTCCGCATGTAGTCACTCGCTTCCGACTGCTAGCTGCCACTACTGCATGGTCGTTTACTATCCCGTCTCTCGAGACTCGAATCTTAGACACCAGTACCTGCGATCCTGGATCCGAGGTGTGACTGATTGTGCCGTCGTGATAGGCTTGGGTTGTGGGCTGTGGGCTGTGGGCTGGGGCAAGGCCAGGCAAGGTTTGCGCTGGTTGCGGAATGCGGTCAATCAGTGTGCGCCCACCGCCCACACCCCTGCGCCTATGTCCGCTCCGTCTCCTCCGGTTTGGGAAGCAGTGGGCTTGTGCGTGCCTCTACGGGACAGCTGTGGCCCAGGCCGCACCCCCAAGGCCATACCTTCCCCCAAGGTTGCGAGCACACTGCGAGGTACCTTTCTCCAGGTACCCAAGTACCCACCCGCTGCTGTACCCGGGAGTGCGCGGCGCGCGCCCTGGGCAAGTCGCCAGCGAGACAAAGGATTGAGCGCACCTGCAGGGTGTCGCTAAATATCAGCGATGCGCACAACTGCCAGGGCCGTCACCGTCCCTCCTTCCCTCCTCTCCCCAAACAAGAACACCGATTGAATATTTATCCCCAGCAGAGAGTTCCATCTCTAGTCACAGCACGATAATCGCCAGCAGCACTGCCGCTTTGCCTTGCCAGCCATACGCATTTCCGGTCCTCGTCAGTCCTCCTGATCAGGCCCGACTCCAACACGCTCCCTGGCCCGTCTTGCTTCAGACTGTTGTAAGTAGTGCTCTCCCGGCCGCCCTGGCCGACTGTGACTCAACACCACCAACACCACAACGCCCGGTCCTTGGCCACCGCCGTTGCCTACAAAAGCCACTTGACCCAACTCTGAAATGCAGTCAACTAACATGTTATCTGCCGTAGACACGTCCTGAAGCAACCTTCTCGTCCGCATTTCCGTGCGAACGAGAAACACCCCCGACCCAAGGAAAATGGCAACCATGGCAACTGCTGCTCGCGATGTCCACGCGGCCTCCCCCCGAGACACCTTCACTGGTGTAGCGGCCCGGAGCGTCCCTGTGACTAAATCCCTCCCTCATACCCTCCCGACCCCTCCGAACTCCATATCGCCCGCCCTCCCGCCACACGGCCTGCGCGCCCAGCTGCAGCGCGCGAGGCTCGATCCTATCGATTCGGACCTCGACCTGCACGACGGTGCCCACGCCGCGGGCGCCCCGCGCCCCGGCTCGCCGCCTTACGAGTCCTCGGGCGCCATCAGCCCGTCCATGCTGGCCAAGCACCACCTGCCCGAGATCCTCCTGAACCACGGGCCGTTGGCCATCCGCCATGTCATGGGCTACCTCACCACTTCGGTCCCAGGCTTCGCCGGCATCCCGCCAGCCAAGGCCCGGCGCCTTGTCGTGGGGGCTCTGGAGGGGAGGAGCGGCGCCAACGGGAGCGAGGGCGGCGGCCCCAACGGCGACGTCGTCTTCGAGAAGGTCGGTTGGGGCCGCTGGGACGCGCGCCGCCGCGGCCAGCCTCCACGCGCCGCCACTTCGTCCCCGCCGCCAGAGGGCATGGTTGGAATCCCCATCTCGGCCGTCCGCGGCGCCGCCGGAAGGTGGAACGGCGGCGGCACCTCGAGCGTCGGCGGCATGTCTGGCTGCGCCTTCTCGCACGACGACGAGCACGGTATGGAGGACCGGTACGCGAGCATGATGGAGAACGAGGCGGACAAGATGTCGATGGACGACGACGGGTCCGCCTCGGCGTCGTGCTCCGAGGCGCCCGACGACCTCGACATGGCCATACACAACGACGACCCCGAGGACGTGACCGACGATGAGGACTGGGCCGCCGTCGGCGCCGCAGCCCTCCGTGCCGCCTCGTACTCCAACCAGGGCAACCTCCAGGCCGCTTCTGGATCTGCGCCCGCCGCCTCCCGTGTATATAACGGCGGCGCCGGCGTGGGAGCTGGACTCCGGGCAGGCTCATACAATGCCGGCATGGCCCGGGCGCCCCAGCCGCCGCACGGTTTCAACTTTGCGGCCATGGGTGCTACGGCCTCTGCCGCACAGGAGCGTGAGGCCGTCGAGGCCTTGCTCAGTCTCGGCTCGTTGTAACGCCTTGCAGCTTCTCTGGCCCTTCGCTCTCTCTCCCTCACACACACACACACACACACATCCAACATACCCTAAATCACATTGCATCGGCGCGGCGTTAGCTTAACACATAGACCTTTTTTTGTCCCGGAAGCTGGCCTTTTCTCTAATCCTCTTTATCCTTCACGTCTTTTGCAGCCTGCTTTTTTGGCTCCTTCTTCCATATACGGTTGGGCATCCTTTGGTCTTTTGATGAGAAACATGGCCCTGAACGAGATTCCTCTAGGTTGGGGCGGGGCAGGGCTGGTTGGGTTGGGTTTGGTTTGGGCTGGGACCGCGTTGGTCATAGGCGTTGTTGCATGATTGCATGCATACATCCATTCTTGATCGAGGCGGCGTCCTCTTGATGATCACCATGCATCTTCCCGGAACGACACATTGCACATCACATTACTTTACAACCCCTTACGAATCCGGGAACGAGGCGTCTTTTGCTTTCTTTTACTTGGGCCGGGCGGAATAAACTTCAACTATTTCCACAATTCCGCGAGGGGACGGAAACCCTGGGGGTCTTGTGGCGGCCACACGTGGGTACCCGGCGTCGGCACTCTACTACTCGGCAACTATCTATCAACCATTCTCGCGAGCCTGGTACGGCACACGCGGACTGTCCTGGCCGGCTCCGCGTTGCCGCCACCACATAGCGCATTTCTGTCACTCACCTGAGCTTCACATCTCCTCTCTTCGAGAGCAACATCGATATACCCCACCCTCGGCGACAAGGCACGATGCAATCAAGACGGATGGGATACTCTTGCTGGGACCATCATGTACCCACAGGTGTTTCGCAATGCCCTCTTGTCGCTTATCGACTTTGTTCTCCTTGGAGGGTATGGTCCTTCCTCACTTGGGATTTTATCGTCTCTATCTTCCAACCTCTTTCTTCACATCTATAATCACAACCTCCGCTCTTTCTTCAACCATTGCCGACAACAAATACCCAAAGTCTATCTCTTTGCCGGCACTCTCTGGCCTCACGAAGACTTGTTGCTTATCGTGCAATGAGTGGGTACCACGATATTTGGGTGGAGTTCACGCACGCATCGCCTAGTCTTCCATCCACGACGTCTCTGTTTCAACACACATGCGCCCGTGGAGGAGTTAGAGGCCTCTCTTGAGGCTATTTCTATATGAGATATTCTCAAAGTCGTTTCGAACCCCATCATTTCTTATGCGTCAAGGTCGTCACCCACGTGAACCCTATTGGGCGTTTTTTTTGTGATGGATTTCTATATGGATTTATGTCCTCGCGCCCCATGGTGCCCTGTCTTCCTACTATGTGAAGAGAATTACTCATGTCTGGCGCGTGTGGGAACATTCACAGGACGGGCGAAGGACGACTGGACATTGATAAGGGCGCTCATCTACTGTGCGGCAATCGTCGGGAAACCTGGAGTCCGGGGCTCATCCAGACGAGAGGAGAGGAAACAGAGGACACGGCAAGTAGTAGCAAGAAACCATGGAAAAAATACAAACACAACGAAAGATGAAGAACACCCACGACGACTTTCCCCACAGAGTGACTGACAGGTTCATCTCCATCCGGCAATTCTTAGCCAAACAACTGACTCGGGGCGCGTGTCCCTGATAGATCGTTTCGCCTCAACGCCAGGGCTGCCCTCTGCGACTGCTCCTTGCCAACACGCGGGCCCTCCTCCCCAGCCCCCCCCGTCGTGTCATCTTCCCCCTGCCCGACCACCGGATGATGCGCGGGATGGACACAGGCCTGCTGATGATTCTGCCCCGCTCGTCACTCGCTAATAGCTACCGTTCACGGCGGCCCGGCCGAGCGCCGTCGAAACGGGGTGAGAGAACGGCGCAATGTTTGCTCGGGTCTCTATCACATAGATGGGTAGATACCTCTAGGCACATGCCTATCTACATAGATACCCAGTCTCTCCCGAAAACCTCTCGCCAGTTGTCCCGATCAGGTCGGTCAACACTTTGGTCAGAGCCAACGCCTGCCGGTGTTGGTGCCGGCCTTTGGTGGTCTGGTTTGACTGGCATTCCTGTTCTCCGTTTTATATCATTTTTCTTTGTCTTGGTCGCATATTTGTCTGTCTCTCTCGACATGCCGTTTCTCACTGGGGCCATTTAGCATCAATGGTTTTGTCAACAACCGGGATTTTGTCTATTTTGTCAGATAAGCGAGATGGCCGTCGCCTGCCCGCCCTGACGGCCATGTAGCTCTCGTTAGATATACCCTCTGCCCAAAACGCCAAGTGCCCTCTTCGTCTCCGTCACCCTTCCCGCGGCCTGCCTCCTCCTCATCAAACATCATCCCGCCCTTGTGCTCTGCTCCACCCACCCACCCCCCGATGCTCAGGGCCGAGAGTCCCTTCACTCAGGCACCGCCGCCTCGCCGCGGCGCGCGCCGGCATGCCAGGCATGAGGGGCCTCGGCTAGGTACGGCGGTGCTCGGCCTCCTGCTCGCGCTGCAAGCGCGCCGCCTGCTCCCGCAGCTGCTCTGGGGTGAAGACGGTCGTGTTGGGGTTCCTCCAGTCCGCCTTCTTCTTTTCGTCGTCCTTGCTGGGGGCTCTGCGCGCCGCCAACTCGGCCACCACGTCGGTGCCGCCGCTGCCGCCGGCTCCCAGGGGCAGGGCGTTGGCTTACTGCTTGACGAGCATTTTTGCGGTTGATGTTGCGTTGTTAGGGTGATGATGGAGAGATATGTGTTATTGTGTGGTTACTCTTGCTATGTTGTGGTTTGGTTGTTTGTGGTTGGAGATGTTCTATCAAAGAATCTGCTTCAAAAGGAGGTTATCGCCATTGCCTCTATATTCGACCGCGGCTTTGTGGTTAGGGTACCAGGCGCCGCATCTGGCAGGCGCCGCAATTACTGTTGCCAGACATCCCATCGTCCCGTCGCTAAGCCGTGTTCCGCGATGATGCTGTGGTTTAGCTGCTTCGCGCACCAAGGTTGGGACGCTACCTGGACGAAGCAGCGGCGTTTGCAATGCGATTTTGCGATATCAGATTCTTGTTGCCCAGCGCGGGAGCCTAAATCTTTTCCAGGAACCAAGCCGATGCCGCTGGAGGCTGAGAGGGGAAATAAGCCTGCATGTCTGATTCCGGGCATGTGGCGCGCAGAGGGCGAGAACCTCGAGCACCGTCAAGTCCGAGGAGAATGGCTGCACTGAAGTAAGCAAAGGAGAAGCTTCGAAAGTCCGAGTCGAGAGAGCTCAGCGACCTTCTCGATGGAGCCAAGGGTCCCGCCAAGTCGAGTCGCACTTTTCCACAAGTAGTTAACGTGGTCACGGCAATTCGGGCGAAAGTGCTGATCTAGGCGATCTGATTGACCCCGCCCCGGCTTGAATAGCTTCATTTTTAATCGACATACCCCAAAGCGCAATTTCCTTATTTACACAAAATAGAGCTTGAGCGCTGGAGACGGCTGTGAGCACAGCCTGCATCCGCGGCAGCTTAGGGCTGGCGCTTGATGCAGATTTTGGAGCAACAGAGTTTCAGGTGAGAATATTCCGGTAGGTGATACCAGGTAGGTAGTCAGTCCATATACTAGCGGATACAGTTCGGTATCGCAGACCCAGAGATACAGACGGAAAGATGGACGGCAAGCAACAGGCGGCAGTTCCCCAGACAGAACCAAAGTCTTGGTATCGGCTCCCGCCAACGGAAGGCGGAGCGGAGACGACGTGCGCTTGGCGTCAAACATGCTTGACGCACGGCAAGGTAGAGTATCAGGTGGCTCTTAACTCACTCTTTGCTATTTTTATTACCATTTCCCTTCCTTCTTCTTATCCTCCTTCTCCCTCATTTTGCCTTTTTTTTTTTTTTTTTTTTTTTTCGGTCCCTGATCGTCCTTCCCCTGTCCAAGTGTCAAGTGTCTCGGGGCTATTTTCGGGGCAGGGGGCACGTGGGTGGAAGGTAGAAGGCCAATGTTTCCAGCCTCAACCTACCACATCGCCGTCTTGCATGTTCGCGCGAGTCGCCGCCCAGCGACAGGTTCTTCGGGCGGGTGAATCAAGTCTGTTCCATGGCCCGTCTCTCTTCAACGGGTCTTCGCAAGCGAGCTTTTTTATTTGCTGTGGGGCTCCTGCTCTTTCTGTCACTGTGCAAACCAAGCTGTTGCAATGCCCGTGGTATCAGAGCCCTAATCCTCTTGCATGCGCAGCCAGGATCGTGCCAGAAAGACACAAGGCCCCGTTGCCGTGTGCGGTACCCGCTCGAGCAAATACCTACAACGAACCTCGGTCCTCGGGTGCTGTCATAGTGGATTCCTTGTTTTTTTTCCCCGCCACGAGGGGAGCTGCGGTATCTACCCTCTACAATGCCGCCAGCCGTTTGGCCCAGATCGCAATCTCGTCGTTGGTGGGACACGGATACCGAACGCCGAGTGGGCAAAAGCCCGGGGGATAAGAGGGAGAAGGCCACTTGTCAAGGGGAGACAGCCGCCTGGGCGATCCTGGGCACGATCGATCCTCGCGTGTCGGGGTCGGCTTCCTGTCTCCCGGGCCGTCGGCTTGCGTGACCGGGAACTGGCAGCCACCGAGAAAGTATCCCATCCAGCCCAGCTAGCCACATCTCGATCTCTCCAAGAAAAGAAACGGGGCCCACGGCAGACACGGCCGCCTCCGGTGCTTAGCTGCCTAGGCAGACTAGGCTAATTCTTTTTGCTCTTTTGGTGGGCGGCGGCTATGCCTTGCCGTGCCGAGCCCTCCAAAAGCGCCGCATTGGAGGGTGCCGCCCAACCACCTCGTGCGGCAGCCAGCCAGCCTGTTGCCGTCAGTGTTTCGAACCGTGTTTAGGTGGTCGAGCGGCGGCGCATGGCCAAAAAGAAAAGAGCAGTGGTCCATTATTGTTATGATGCGAATCTGCTTCCCCCCCGTGGCTACTTGGCGCGCCTTGCCAAGATGGTATCACGGCCCCCGCCCCAAGGATTATCTGCTTGGAAGTCTTGTCGCCGAGCACTCCAAGCTCTAGGAAAGAGGGGGGGACAAGACGCCAAGGGCCATGGCATGCATATTGTGGGTGGTGATGCTGGTGCTGATGCCCCCCTTTTTATTTCTCTTCCTTCTTTCCGACATTCTCCCTGGCGACCTGCCTTCCATATTAGGTGCCGACGCGGTGATTAGGAGCGCGGCCACTGGCGCAATAGCATGTGGCTACGGAGGTCCAACCTCGTGACTGGGCTTGGCCTTGGGAGGGCCGATGGGATTGGCCAGGCGGCCCCGGTTGAGGCCTCTGGAAAAGTCTTGGGAGAGGGTTCCGCGGGCCTAGCGCTGATTCGCAGGTGCAACGGATATCGATCAGACCATATTCACGTCACTGCGCCGGCGCTAGAGCACTCAGGAGCGCTCCCGTTGGAAGCGTGGGATGCCGGTACTGCTTGGCTGCGCGCCTTGTCACTCACCCACAGCGCGCGAGCGTGCTGACCGATGAAAGTGACAGCCCCAGAGCCAGAGGTGCCAGAGGCAGAGGCAGAGCCACAGCCAGAGAGCCCGCCCCTAGGCAACGGCTGGCATTGGCGATCGGCAGCGGCTCCCCGGCAAGCGTCCTTGGACATGGAACTCCCATCTGGCTCGGCGGGTGCTCGTCAATAAGATTCTGGTCTTCCAATATCGGACGAAAGGCCAAGACAGGAAGGACATTGTACTGTACGTAAAAGACGACAGAAGGACACGCCTGCACGGCCCAGCCGCCCACCGATTTTTTACGTTTGGTCAGTGCCGTTTGGTCTCTGCCGACCACCACCACCACCGCCTGATGACACACTGGCGACCAAATTTGCGGTAGGGTGGGGGACAATCAACCAACAACTGGGCAGGGGAGCCAGACCCGCAGAGCGTTGAGCAGGCAAGCGGGCAGGCAGACGGCCAGCAGGCAAAACAGGTGACAAAAACGACCGGGGTTGCGACTAATAAAGACTGCGAAACTGAACGGCAAGCGATGCACAGAAAATTAGCATGTGGGCCGGCCAAAAAAATAAAATAAAATAAAATCCGGGGGAATGAGCAAAAGCGACACCTTCACCGAAAATTACAGAGAAATCGCCGTCATGTCGGTCGAGCGCACCTCCCCTTTGCTCTCTGGCCATAATCGTGGCTGATAAAACCAGCATCATCATGTAAAGCAGAGACGCGAGCCAGGACGGCGCGTGCTCAGTATGGATGGGACCGACTGAGGCTGGGCACTCTCGGCAGCACGACAAGCCGCCTAGGGAGGAGCCGAGTGGAGCAGGCACAACATTGGCGGGCAAAAGCTTGTTGGCTCTACTTGGCAGCATTCGGAGGAGGACAGAACGCGTGTCACGATTCCACCCTTTTTAACAGCCCGTTTGATCTCTCTGAGAGATGATTTGTGAGGTCGGTCGGGGGAGGGTGAAGATGTTGAGCATGTCAAAGCAGCGATGAATACCACCAGAGGCGAAGGAGGTCGACGGGAACGGAACGGGACAAAGCAACAACCAAAGGCCTGCAACAGCAATCTATGCGACATGCACACAAAATGTCGTTGGTTTTGGCTCGCACGGGCCTTTCGGGTGCCTCGTGGGGGAAAGCGGGTGCATCAGACAGCGTCACCATTTTGCCTGGCTCCCCAGAAGTCGGTCACGGTGTCAGAAGTGAGCGGGCGCCCGTTCCAGCTCGTGGCACGAAAAGCGTCAAGTCTGGGCGGCAAACACGTGGGCTCCCGACAATAACAAAAAAAAAAGAAAACGCTCGATGGAGAAGATGAACCCAGCACGGCACACCAACCAACTCAACTCTACCGCCTAATAGGCATCCCGTACCTCTCTTCAACTGCGCATTCAATTCCCCAAAGCCTCGCGAACCGTGCCCGTGCTCCTCCACAAAAAGTTTGCATAGTCAGGCGGTGGCGATCCGAGGCGGAAGGCGGAGTATTGGTTTGCAAATAAAGAGCTGGATGGCGTGAAATGCGACAGTGTTTAGAAAAGGTGGCGGGCCTGTTTGATCAGAAAGGACGGGGAGAGGGCAGGCGCTGCGAAAGGAGCGGCCCCCCTCCAGGACTGCCAAGGTCTTAGCCATTCTTGGCAGACTCCTGGCAATGATAGTGCAGAGGTACCTCTGCTAGCGGGTACATGAGGGCACGGTCGGCTGGGCGTGCTTGGGCGGCGAGTGGGCGGTGCTGTGCGCGTGCCAGGGGTCACCCAAGGTCGCTCTCCATCGCAGTGACCAACGGCGGATCTGTGGCACCTCTGGACGGCCTATTGGAGTCTTGGCGGTCTTGGCATTCGGAATACGCTCACTCCCTTTCCTCTTTTTTCATGAACAAAAGGGAGGCTGTCGCTGTCCTCCCGTGGCCCCATGGACGGTTTCCTGTTAGACCCGTCACTCTTTGATTTCCCCCTGGATAACTCTGATTTCTGTCTTCACTTGCGTCCCCGGAAGTGCGCGAAAGGAAAGGAATCCGTCGCTGACACACGAGCGTCCCCAGCTGTTTGCGACTTCGCCCCAAGCAGCCCACCAGCCCTTGCGCCCGGCTTTGATAGGCCCTTCTCTCAAAGCACCATCCCACCTGAAAGTCCCGTGACTCGCGCTCTCGCTCCCTATTCCAGTCGGAGCACGGCGGAGTCGGCACAACAAAGGACCGGCCGACACCACACCCCATCTCGAACTAGTCTGGTCACCCCCACCACAGGGTGACTAGAAGGTGCTCCCCGTCAGCCCGGCAGACTTAGCTCCAGAGACGCGCGTCGCGAGACGACCCTGTAAGAGAGCCATGTCTTCTTCGGCTGCCCCCCAGCAGGCCCAGCCCGCGGCACCGCCGGCGACGACGCAGGCCCCCGCGCAACCGGCCCAGCAGGCCGAGTCGTCCAGCTCAAACTCCAATGGCAACACGCCCGCGCCGTCCACCTCCACCACCGCCACCTCGCAGTCGAGCTCGGGCGGAGCCGATGACAACCTCATCTGCCGGTGGAACCAGTGCAACGAGCGCTTCGTCACTGCTGAGATTCTCTATGTAAGTATTGAGTTTTTGCCCCGTCTCCCTTCTCCCACCCTCCTGTGGCCTACCCTTTCAAACCTGGTATTAATGGTGTGCTCTTCTTCTCTGACACGTGACCCAGGATCATATCTGTGAACGCCACGTTGGCCGCAAGAGCACCAACAACCTGAACTTGACCTGCCAGTGGAACTCGTGCAGGACCACTACTGTCAAGCGCGATCACATCACCTCGCATATCCGTGTCCATGTGCCGCTCAAGCCTCACAAGTGCGATTTCTGTGGCAAGTCGTTCAAGCGCCCCCAGGACCTGAAGAAGCACGTCAAGGTAAGCCAGCCATCCCTCATGAGCCCTCATGAGCTTATAATCCTCCTGGCACGCGAACCCCCGAGTCTGACAAGCCGCCTATTGCAGACTCATGCCGACGACTCGGTTCTCGCACGGTCACCTCAAGACCCCAATGGTGGCATGAGCGGTGGCTACCGGCCTGCTGGCAAAGGTATGTATATTCTCTCTGCCTTCTTTTCCGTCTCTCAAATTATTTTCAATTTGAGGCTAATGTGCCTCCAGCTCCTTCTAGTTACTATGATCACAATGGCCACATCCGTACTAACTCGGCCGCCTTTGGTCAGCCGCATCAGAATGGCCACGCTAGCTACTATTCCCACCCTCAACCCGCCTCCTATGGCCCTGTGTACTACCAGCCCCATCTTGGCCCGCGTGGCGACATGTTTGGCCACACTGCCTCGTTTGATGCCCGCAAGCGCGGTTATGACGAGCTGAACGACTTCTTCGGCAACGTGAAGCGCCGCCAGTTTGATGCCGGTTCGTACGCCCACGTCGGACGTTCGCTGCTCCCGCTGCACGGCGCCCTGGGCGTCCACACCGGAGGCATGAGCGCCGAGTACATGACTGCCCCGCCGCCCCCGCCCCCGCCGGCGGCTGTGCCCGTCGGTGGCCCCGGCCCGCTGGCCCAGCACTACTACCTGCCTCCCATGCCGAGCCTGAGGACAAAGAACGACCTGGAGCAGATCGACCAGATCCTTGAGCACATGCAGAGCACCGTCTACGAGGGCTCTGGGCAGTCGCCGGGATCGCACTACGCGCACGCCTTCGACCTCCGCCACCAGTCGCCCGCGGCTCGCCCGCCTGTCGGCGACCACTACGCGCCCGTCTCGGCCGCGCACCAGCACTCGCCCATGACGGCCGTCTCGTCGTCGCAGGGTGGCTCCCCCGCCGTGACCCCGCCGTCGAGCAGCCTGTCGTACACATCTGGCCACTCCCCGAGCGCATCTTCCACGGCCCTCTCCCCCACCTCGCGCCATGGCTCGTCGACCTCTGTCAGCTATCCCAGCCTTCCCGCAGCCTCTTTCCCAGGCTCCTCGGCCACAGCCACTCTGGGGTCCAACTTCAACCACGTCGAGCGCCGCTTGTCCGGCGGCATCCTCCAAAGCGCCATGCGCGAGAGGCAGGCGCGGGAGGACATGGCCACGAGCGAGGGCGCACGCACGCCGCGTCCGTCGTCGGCCGCCGTCTCGGTCAGCTCGCCTTCGTCTTCTGCCTCGGACTCGTCCAGCTCGGAGCCCGAGTCGTACGACTCGTGGCTGCAGAACATGCGCACCATCGAGGCGCTGCGCGAGTATGTCAAGGAGAGACTCGAGAGGCGGGAGTACCTCGACCACTCGGCGTCGCCTAGGCCGGATCCCATGGTGCTCAAGGCTGAGCGGCGAGAGGCCGAGACCAAGCCATTGTACCCGGTTCTGCGCATGTCGTGAAGCTCCGCTTGCTGGCTTAAATTTGGTCGCTTCTTCTGTCCTGGTCTTTTTGCATTTGTCTATATCTTGTTCAATGTCGTTTCGTCCTTTTCTTCACGTTGCTTTCTTGCGCATCGTCGCATCTTCCTCTCGGGTTTGTAAACTAGGGTATTTTTTGTAACGCGCCACGCAGTCTTGATTCCTGACTCATGCCGACCAAGCTCATGTTTTTTCTCTCTGCTTTCTCTTGGTTGATCTTCCGCCGACGGATTGGTAGGAAAGGAAAATGAATGAAATATCGAAGGATGGCCCAGGTCCCTTTTTATCTTTGTTTCTAACCTCACCAGAAAAACAAGGGAGGGATATCGGTCTGTTTTTTTAACCGGCGTTTTGCGCGAACCAGGCTTAATTTTTTGTTCTCTTATTTCTGCCACTTTTGGGAAATTCCATCTCTCTCCTCATCCTTGATATCCCTCGTATGTACAGATGGATCTTCACTTTCTTGCCTGGGAGATGGCAAATACGTGACGCTAAGATTTCTGGGCCACCTCCTCGCATTCACTCGTTTGTGTTTGTGGATCAAGTTGCTTTGTGCTGTCAAGGAGGTTATTTATGCTCGAGTATAGCACCTCTGTCAAATCCAAGTCTGAAGCCATCGGTTCCGACCTCATGAAGGAGTGTGACCGAGACACGCGGTGGCCTCGATCGATCTTGCTGTCCTCGTAGAAATTGAATGGATAGATCAAGAGATCGATGCACTTTTTTCGATCCCAAGAGGCTCAACGTATGAGAGGGATGATTGTGGGGTTAGATCGAGCTGAGCTGTGAAGGTGTGCTAAGCCAACTGTAACCCACCTCACGTTAGGGCACTCTAGGTTGCGTGGCCACCTAGCGGCACACCCCGCTCCCGTCGGTTACCCCATGTGATGGTGGGCTCGGGTGTGCAGCAATTGGAGCAATTGTTGATGCAACCGGACGGACGGGTTGGGGGGTCCTTTTCCATCCCTTGACACTAAACCACCTCGACCTCCGCGAAATGACGCGCACATCTTCTTTATCTTGACGGCCACGGCAGAACCCCAGTGCACAAGACCTTTCCAGATCCCCCCGTAGCAATAACTGCACGAACCTCGACGTCACAGAAAGGGCGTCAACGGCTTCCCTGCCCATCAAAATCACCAAGCTGGTCAACCCACCCCCCACCCCCGCCCTCACGCTTCAACCCCGGCCGATCCGACCACGACGATGGCGCTCCCCGCCCTCACGGCGCTCGAGGAGTGCTCCGACTTCTCCAAGACGGTCGAGCCCTTCCTCCCGCAGCTCTACGCGCTCCCCCGGGAGCTGGCGCAGGTGCTGCAGCGGCGCGAAGGCTTCGTCGACCTCTACGCCTCGACCAACCCACTCATCTCGGGCTTCGCCATGTCGGTCCTCTTCGGCGCCCTGTTCCTCGTCGTGGCCGAGGCCAACCGCAACTACTCCCAGATCGACCGGTTCTGGAGCCTGCTGCCGACCTTTTACATCGCCCACTTTAACCTGTGGGCGCGCCTGGCCGGCCTGCCGAGCGAGAGGATAGACGCCGCCCTGGCCTTTAGTGCCGTCTGGAGCGTGAGTCCGGGGGGGCTGCCGCAAATTCCGATCTGCGAACTGGCCGGGCTAACCTAATATGGATGATGTGCATTATCATAGGCCCGCCTGACGTATAATTATGCCCGCAAAGGAGGCTACAGTATTGGATCCGAGGACTACCGATGGTACGTTCGTTTCCCGCCTTGCACCGTGACTAGATATTTGCCGACTAACCCGTCTGCGCAACACACCAGGGATATCATCAGGGGCAACATCCCGGCCTGGGCCTTCCACGTCCTCAACGCAACCTTCATCTCCTTCATGCAGAGCATCCTGCTCTTCCTCATCGCCGCGCCCGTGTACCCGGTTCTCCTCGCCATCCAGTTCGAGCCCGGCGTGTCGAGCGCGGACGTGGCCTTCGTCGCGATGCAGCTCGGCCTCGTCCTGGTCGAGTGGTTCGCCGACCAGCAGCAGTGGGACTACCAGGGCGTCAAGAAGCGGTACCAGTCGACGGCAAAGGTGCCCGCGGGCTGCGGCCTCACGCAGCCGGAGCTGGACAGGGGCTTCGTGGCCTCGGGCCTGTGGGCGTACAGCCGGCACCCCAACTTCGCGGTCGAGCAGACCATCTGGATCTTTTTGTACCAGTGGAGCTGCTTCGCCACAAAGGTGCTGTGCAGCTGGGCGGCCGCGGGGCCGACGTTCCTGGTGTTGCTGTTCCAGGGCTCGACGTGGTTCACCGAGTCCATCACGGCGGGGAAGTACCCCGAGTACCGGCACTACCAGAGCAAGGTCGGCATGTTCGTCCCCGTCAGCCCCTTCGCCTACAGGCCGCTATCGACGCTGGGGCCCAAGGTCATCCGCACAAGCGAGATTGCGAAGAAGCAGGAACAGAAGAAGCAAAAGTGAGGAACATTGGGGAAGAAGTCGCAGGGCGCAATAATGCTTGACCAATTTTTTTTTACATCATCTACCTAAAGTGTCGCGGCGTGCCCCTGCAAATTACTTTACCGCGTATTCCACATCTTGGTGCCTTTGATTTCAATTTACAGCCAATGTATTTAGCAACCGACCCATGGAGTCTGGATTGGGAGATGGCGGGCATTGCTAGCATTCATTCACTGCATTCTGGATTTCTGCATCTGCAACGCATGCATCGTATATATTCATCCACTGTGTGTAGCAATCACATGTGCTCAATACGAAGTGCGCACACACCAATCCACAGAGGGTGTGTATCCTGGCAGCAGGCAAAGAAAGGGACAAGCGGATGTGGTAAGCTGCATCGAATCTTGCATCTGGATCGACGACACCACCCTCGAGCATGGAGAGATCTACGAACTGTTGCGCATAGGTATGTGTGTCAGCGACACCCACGGTACCACCCTCCACCAACTGCCGGGGGCTCGACCAGGACCCCGGAGCCAGGACAAGACCCTGAATCCAAGACCCCGAATCTCCAGCGGCTTGGTTGACTTCGCTTCCTTGTCGCGGAAATGAACGACCGTTTGGAACCACGTTCACATGTTTGCAATCGTTGTCATCACGTCGCCTTTTGGCGTCGACACGATGCTTGGAAATCAGGGTTTGGGGCTTCCAAAGTTGCATGTGCTGACTCGGCGGGGTTTTCTACAGCGCCCTTTGCCAGGCTGAAAAAAAACTTGATGTATCCAGGCAAATGTTGGCAGAAGACAACCTAATATGGAAAGTACCCCAAGTGCCAACACAGAAAGGGATGACGTCGATCCCCATCAATGTCTTGGGGATGCTGCGGGCAGTCCACTGACACCTGACCGGCCTGGCCACTGGGGCTGGAAACAGGGTCCATCAAATACAGTGAGCACTTTATATCGACGGGGCGACGGGGCAGCGGGACAGAACACGAGCATTTCAAGCGACGTGCCGTCGCCTAGCAGGCAGGGCAGACAGACAGACTATCGGAAAGCGTGGGGGTCCCAGCAACGAATGGGGCATAGATAGTGCAGGAAACAGATAGGTTGGCATGATAGTTGGTTGAGGCAGGTCACAACCTGAGGTGCCTGGCTTGCAAGGGCAGGCAGGTGTAAGTCGCCGCCTTCCAGCGCAGCCAGCTGGACTCTTATCCATCCCCCCTTTGGAAACAGCCCGGAAGCTTTCATGCGCGCGGCAAACTCTCCAGGGAACAAGCCGCTGTCTTGGGGAGAGGGCCCACGAGTCGCGAAGCCGACGTCACAGTCCCACCGCCGCCCACCTCCAACCATCGCGCTCCCATCTCTCGTCGCCCTCGCTGCCAAAGGCATGAACTACCCGCCGTCGACTTTTTTTTTCCCCCGAAGAGTAGTACAGCAGTTTTTCGCCTCCAGTGTCTCCGACTTGACTTGTCCATCGCCGCGCCCACCGAAACCCCTGTATCCTTCCTCTCTTTCCCCCCACACACACACGCCCACACCACTATCCACAACACGCACACACCAACTTCGTTGTGCGCGCGCGCGCGGCCAGCACGACGCCGCAGATTGCTTGTCCAGACCTCCCCGAGCCATCTCCACTTCTGCGCCGCCGTTGGCCGTGCCCGCCGCTTGGCCAGGGATATCTCCCGATCCCTCCATCTCGCTCTCGCCAACCCCAGGTCACACACGCACACACACACCCCATCTCGGCCCTCGCTATTCGGACGCTCGCTATTTTGGATTTTCCCCAGTCTGCCTCGGACCCTAGTTTAATAACGGATCATCCAGGGCCCCTCCTTGCTTGCCCGCACTGGAAGAGAAACCAGAAAAAAAAGATAAGAAGAAGCAATCCTCTCAAGCCGACGACCATGGCGCTGGTGTCAGAAGTCGACCTCATTAGCTCCCTCGACGACGCCCTCATGATAATATCCTCTGGCGCCCATCACCACCACCATCGTCACGCCGGCAAGTCCACCAGCAGCACCGCCAAGTCCCTGTCCGCCGCAGCCGCCGACCACGGGCCGCCTCCCTTGCCGGGTAGCAACAACAGCATCCACGCCAGCACCATGGGCGCAGTCCTGCAGCCGGTATCATCGGACGAGTGGTCGTCGCGCCCGCACCGCAGCTCCTCTGTCTCGTCCGCCTCGTCGGGCAGTCTGTCGGACGGCAGCAGCAGCACGGCGGCCTCGACCCCGGACGGCGACGCCAGCAGGTCAGCGCACATCAGTCGGGCCTCCACCATCGACTCCCTGGGCACCCCTGACAACTGTGACACAACCATCACCGCCACGCCTACGGCGGTGGCCAACGCCATCGCCCAGCTCGACCCCCTGGCCAGGAACTACCCGGCGCCCGCGGCGACGGACGGGCTCGACCTCGACGAGATGCTGGCGCGCAAGCCGCAGAAGTGGACGCTCGGGCACTACTTCCACAAGTCGCGCGCAGCCGGCTACAACGACAACGGCGGCAACGCCTCGGACTCGTCGTCATCGCCGCCTCTGGACGACATTGCTGCCGGCCACCGCCGCAAGAGCGAGCTCGAGCGGGCCAAGAAGGAACTCCTCGTCGCTCAGGAGGAGATCCGGCAGCTCGCTGTTGGTCGTCTGTGAATGTGTTTGGGGAATCAGCTTCGAAGTTGTCCTTCTGTCTGCCGTGTTTTGTTGTGTTTGTGTTTGTGAAAGATCGGGGGTTTTTTTTTTCCTTTTTTGGAAAGGAGTTCTCACTTTTCATTGTTTCAACATCTCTGTCTTGTGAAACAACTAGACTAGAGGCGTCTTTTTTTTTTGTTGGATATACCCTAGAAGCAGGCTCAAGACAGCCGCGGCTGCGCTTGGCCGTCATACACAAGTTTCCTTTAGATTGTCGAGGCGCATGGATAAATACAGGACAGGAGGCAAGGACGATGATAAAAGTCGAGCCCCGAGACAGGCTTGTTAATATTGCTACATAATCATGCTCGGGGGCAGAGGCACCGGGTTGAGGTCAGAGGAGGGGTCTTGCTCGACTGACAACCTACGATATCAACACAAACAATCACATTCAGTATGCGATTTTGACTATCTCAAGAGGCGGCATGGCGATACTGGTGCCTGTGCTATCTCGTAATATTTATCGCGCATGAATAAACTCCTTCGCCCCGATTCCAAGGATCCTCAACCGGAGCTCCCTAGTCCGGCACTTACACGGCTTCCTCATGCACTAGTATATAGTGCATGCTGACAAGGCCTCCATAAAATAGTCCATCGTCAACTATACTTTTTTTTTACTGGATCAACTTGGCGAGGGTGAATCCGTAGACAACGGTAGCGATAAACGTCGTTAGGTTAAGCAGGGAAGAGATGCCGTGGAGCTTCCCGAATCGCTTGTTGAGGGCGAGCATCTCTTCGGAGTGGGGTGCCGGGTCCCAGCTCCGCTTCCCATCCTTCTTTTCTACAGCGAGCAAAAGCGAGGCCGAGTTAGCATCGAAACAAGACATCATACCCCACGAACATCGACCTTGTTCACTTGCTCAGTCTCATCTAAGCTTCTCCCATCTTACCCTGAGCCCGCCTCTCGGCTATGCAGCCGGTGGTGGCGGGGAGCAACACGACTAGGTTCAGCAAGCCCGTCGCGAACATGGCGCCCAGGGGCGCCAGGACGGCCCAGCGGCCGGCCTCGTGCAGGACGCCCGGCAGGCCGGCCGGGGTGGCCGCCAGCGCGCTGCTGGATGAGCCGGGCCATGTCACGGCCAGGGCAATGGGCAGGACCGTCTGCATCGAGAAGTAGATGGGGAACAGCTTCTGCTGTACGACCGAGAACTGCGGCCGGGGCAGGACCTTGAACATGGCTATCCCATTGACGAAGGACTGGCGGGGGGGGGGGGGGGGG